TTTCCCTTCCTGGTTGGCTTTATTTCCACATTATTTGCATTCGATAACAGAGGAGATCGTGTGTGCACCCTAGATCCTGCTACCAAGACCTACGCGGTAGCCATTGGAGAGCACACTTTAGAAGGAGGCGAGTACCGTAACGTGTACATAAGACTGAAGGCTCAGAAACATGGTAAGGAAGGAAACAAAACGATACAATAATTAGCATTGGCCAAAAAAARCTTTGAGCGTCAAACGGTAGAACCATTTTATTGTGTTGGTGCTTTTTTCGACTGATGAGAACGAAAAAAAATCTTTTTTTATTCTATTTTATTMTTTTTTATTTTTTTCAATTCAATTCCCGAGAGGCGTGGGCATGCAACACCTCTACACACCGAATCGAAATATATATATGGCGACTATTTTGAATGACTGTCGTTCTGGACTGACTAGGCTAATGTTAACCTGAAAGCATAGAAGCGTTTTCTATGAGAGGCTAGTCTCATATATAGTTATTCGAATTAGGAATACAGCAACGGCGGAGATTTCCACACTCACGGACGCGAGTGGAGGAATTCCAGGACGATTGACAATCCCACGCGCCAATATATGGAGACCGTGTAAGGATTGTTGTTACTGTTTTAGGTGCGGGAGCTATGTACTACTATGTGRTGTTCAACGGTTACCACGTGTCTGAACAGAAAATCACGTCATACTCCAAGAATGACAAGGTGAGTGTTTAGAGGGGAAAAAGTAATGATATTTTTAAATTAAAATTGACGTTGATAGTTTTCTTCAACTGTTGTTAAATAATAGGATCCAAATGGATCCACTTTACTCCACTCTCCATCAGATCTCCAGTTTAAAATCATTTGAAATTTTATAGCCAATAGAGGCTTTGCAGCATCACGTGGTGGCAGCCATGACAGGAGGCAGGAACAATCAATTGAAACTGGTCTGAATTTGGTTTACATGAGAAAGAATTCAGTCTACCAGTGGGGAAAAGACTCTATTGTTGTGCCTCCTGTCATGGCTGCCGTCACGTAATGGTGCAAAGCTTCTAAAGAGGCTTTGTAGCCATGACAGGAGGCAG